CTCGCGGCTGTGAATTACATTACTTTTTTTCTGCTCCATAATAGAATTTTGGCTGCTCCAAAAAAATGCTAAAAAATGACTCGCCTCAATCACGTAACTGCACTCGGCACTTGTTTCATTTCTAGCGGACCTATAATGCTTCCTCATTTTCCTATACTTTTTTTTTCTGTAGTAGTTGATGTCCTTGACGCTCCGTGACCTTGGCAGCCTTATCAACATTTAAATCGGTACAATCAATCGACCAATCAAAACGGGCCCGCTTCGTGCTGTTGGGAAACACGAGAGCGTGGCTTCTCTTTCGAGACGGCAACTGAACGGATGGGGTAACAGCTGCGAGTGCGTTTTATATATCGCGTCGCGACCAGTCGGCAGCACTGGGTTGACGTGAAGAACAGCTGACCGGCGCAGCTTTCCTCTTATCTGTATGGGAAACCGTTGCCTGCAACCATCCGGCGCTCGCATTGCTCCGTGCACGGCCCGAAGAGCAGTGGCGGAAGGCGCGCTCTGAATGATTAAACCACACACACGCGTAGCGTTTCCGTCTGAGCGCGGCGCCCGCAGAATGCAGATGGTGACGAATGCGCGGAAACGCCGCGCGGTGCGCATAATAAAGGGAGCCGCCAAACCACCGTTTCCTCAAACCCTTCTTTTTTTTTTTTTGGTGATATAATTTTTTTGACGGCCGATTGCGGGATTGAGTTGGCCCGAGTCCAGTGTACCGCCGGTTCCGTGCCGGGTCGGTCGCCGACACCGGGGCACACGACTGCTGACGAGGTGTGTCCTTGGGATTTCGCCGTGAACATTCGGAAGTGCCTCGGTAAAGACGGTTTTGGATGTGGCTGCGCGCATGGAACGATGCGAATTTCGATATGCATTGTGCAGCTTCGTTGACTTCCTCGGGGCACTGGGATTCGACGAGAACGGTGGAACAAAGCGTTTTTGAGGAGGTAGAGCTGAGTCAAATAAGTTTGGAGGAATGGTGGCCAAATTGAAAGTATAGATATAGGTTACATGTGACTAAATTGACTTAAACATATTTTAATATGGAGTTGAAAATACTATTTGGCTAGGTGATGCAGGTCAGCCACCGATTCAGAAAGAACAGCCTCCGTGCATCTTTTCCACATAGCTCGGTGTTTACCCAACGCATGGATGGGCCCGTGGACGCCATCTTTACGTCATCTTCTCTTCCTCGAACTTTGGGCGATGACTGCATAAGTCACCCGTTACTTGCTTTGACAGATGTTGTGAGAGCATTCTTATCGGCGACAGTGCCACGCACACGTTAACCCCCCCCCCTCCCCCTCCCTTGTTTATAAATTAAGTTATAACCAATGCAAAAAAAAAAAAAAAAAAAGAAACGCCTGTTTTTTTAATTTTTATTAAGGTTTATTAAAGGGCAACTTCGGTCGAAAACGGAACCAAAATAAATGACGGCTAGCGCTTGGGTGGCACGAATAACGATTACAGCGGAAATATTTCGTCAAAGCGAATCCGCGTACTAGATTAAATCCGATCTTAAAGATGCGACCAGCTGCTCTTTCTAGCGGGTTAGCTTTTAGTGAAGCAACACCGTACGACGCGTACCGCAGCACGTCGCAGCCGTACAGCTGAGATCAGTGTTGCCATCCCTCTCTAGCAGAGAGTTTCGGTTTTGCCGTAGACGCCCAAGACCAAACTTTGAGCAGTAATATTTATAAAACTACACACAATATCGAAAGAAAAAAAGGATATATACACACCTTGCACTTCTGGGACACTGACTGAGCTGAGAATAGTCGTAATCCTTAATTTGAAAATATTGACCGGAGTTGCCCTTTAAACTTCCAGTTCGGAGTAAGCGATTGTCTCTTTATACGTGTTTTTGTTTTTGGTTTTGTGTGAACTTTTTTATTTCATCATAAACTTCTCGATCGAGCGCGGAGCACAGGACGAACACGGGTACAGCATCAGCATTTGACTGCGTCGGGAATGAAATTCCATGTTGCCATTATTCCCATGAGCAGAGATGGCAAAATTACTACCAAGAAGATGCACGCTTTTCTCCTTCGCCTCTGTGCGTCTGTGGAGTTCTTCCTTTCGAGGCTTTGCGCTCAGATGGCCGTCGTTTATTTGCCCTGATGTCTCTTTTACATTTCACCATAAAAAAATGTTTTTTTTTTAAATTTTTTTAAAGCTCGTAAAACGAATTTTATCTGGGACGAAAGTAATTTTAACAGCAATGAGTAATTTTTCGAAATTAGTGCCTGAAAGTAATTTAGTACATTACTAAATTACCAGCTTAGAAAAGTAATTAATTAAATTGCACATTACCGCGAAAAGTAATTTCATTACTATGATTTAATTGTAATTTATTACAGCATTGTCATTACTGTCATCGTTGTACTTAGCCGCTAGGGGCGCGGCGGTTGAATCTCCTCCCAATATGTGCCGAAGAGTAGCGTGTTATATGCGGATTTGTGTTTTTTTTTTATTTTTTTTTTTTATTAATGCGTTGTTTGAGTCAGCCGGCATTCCAGAGGGAGTGAGTAGGGGGAAAATATTACAGCTGTGTTCTGTATGACATCTTCATACAGAATGGCATGACAAGCGCAGCCAACACTCGCGCCGCCGCGTCTTTTCAAAGCGCCGCCCTGGTCGCCTCGTCGTCCACTCATATCTCTCGTTTCTTGCAACGTCTCGGAGAATGCGAAGGCTGAGGTGTGGGAACGTCAGGTGGGGCGCTGCCTCGCTTCGGCCACGAGCTAACACGTGCAGTTGGCTGACGGCGCGAGAGGTTGGCGCTTGGCAGGCGGTCGACTCTGCCACCCTCCGCGTCCGTCCGAGGCCACGGTTCAGGCGGACACGAAATCTGAGTGAGCCTCAGTTAGAATACGAAGAAAGCCTGAAATAGAATCGTCGGTTGGTTTTATTTACTCGACATCGGACGATCGTATCAGATTTTCGCAATTTTTGGAGGCGAGTGCGGGTGACGTGTCGCGATGGACGCTTATGACGGCTTTTCCCCGCAGCCCTTCGGAACTATTTCGTTCAGAGGGAAGTTGAAGAGGTTGTTTAAAACAATATGAGAACACTGACGTGTTTATGTGTCCCGTGAATGAAAACGTCGCTAGCGCTTGTTTTGAAGTAGAAAAAGACAAACAGCAAGCCATGACGTAAGGCAGGTGGAATGACACGACCTGCCGAATGTTTCCATCATTATTTGTTAGTATATATATTTATTTTTTGTCTTTGTTGGAGGTTATTCGGGGTATTGCTGCAAAGTGACTTACCATGATGGCATTTTCTCGCTCTTTCGGGCTTGCTTATGGTGTATTTATCCGCGAGCTTACTTTCTCTTTGTATTTGGTGCACATGAACACTAAGTGTGTGTGCCCTATTGTAACCCCCTCCCGCTTTGGATTAATGGATCCGGTGCTGGTAGGAAATCCTGAAATAATTCCGGTCCACCGGCTCTGCTGTAGTTTTGTGAAACGCAGGGATTCGGCTCTTGATGATTGTGTTAACCTAAGCTATTTCGGAACTCGTCTTTCCGATTTCTTTAAAGCGAGCTACACAAGACCATTAAAAACAAAACAAAAAACAAAAAAACAACCGAGACTGCGGGTAAAATAAGAGATACACTAAAATGCCCCAATCTTGCTTTTTGTCACGCTTAATTAATATTCACCAGCTTGTTTGCGCCCTAACATTCAGTTCGTTTACACGGGAGTTTGGACCGCACGTCCGGTCCTTTTGTCTCTCTCTCTCTTTCTCTCTCTCTCTGTGGGTGTGTACGACAAAATGAACTGTCCCCGGAAAAAAGTAAATTTTTGCGCAATATTTAGGTTGCGAGAGTTATTTTGGGTTGCGCGACGCATTTGCATTTCTTCCATTTCGCGCTTGTATTTCTAATCGACGTGCCGAAAGAGAAGTACATTTGGAATCGTTTCTCATTCAAAATGAGTTCCTAGACGTAAATGTTGCGCTACAATATATATATATATATATATATATATATATATATATATATATATATATATATATATATATATATATAATACAGGGTGTTTTTTTTTTATTTTTACACATTTGTTTAAAAAAAAACAAAAAAAACGTGAAAGCTACACTAATGCGGTTTGTGCAGGTTGGTTATACGGCCAGGCGGACATTATGTGGGTGGCTAATCTTTGCGATAAGTCGGCTAATTAATTAAAAATTCCATAATTAACTTTTTAATTAGTGGAAATAGACATGTGGTTTCAATTAGAAACTTGTAGAGCATCATCGAAAACCACTAGATCAACTATTTTTGGAAGGATATAATGCCGGGGAAGCATTTTACGGCGTTCTGTAAAAGCGTTCCATTTGGACGCGTTTCTAGATTTCGGTTTCTTATCAGAGCGCATCTACGCGCCGGCGATCCTGCTCCCCGGTGGTCGCGGCGCGAAGCCACCTCCTCGCCTCCCTCGTAGAATGGAGGGAAGTACGGCGCACGTGTGTTGCGCGTCTCAGCCGCCGGGGAGCAGGACCGCGGGCGCGGTGATGCCGCTCCGATAAGAAACCGAAATCTAGAAACGCGTCGAAATGGAACGCTTTTACAGAACGCCGTAAAATGCTTCCCCGGCGTTATATCCTTCCAAAAATAGTTGATCTAGTGGTTTTCGATGATGCTCTACAAGTTTCTAATTGAAACCACATGTCTATTTCCACTAATTAAAAAGTTAATTAAGCAATTTTTAATTCATTAGCCGAGTTATCGCAAAGATTAGCCACCCACATAATGTCCGCCTGGCCGTATAACCCACCTGCTCAAACCGCATTAGTGTAGCTTTCACGTTTTTTTTAAACAAATGTGTAAGAATAAAAAAAAAAACAAAAAAACCCTATATATATATATATATATATTTTTTTTTTTTTTTTTTGGGGGGGGGGGGGGTGGTCTAGTGTTGATTTGAAGCAGTTGGCAGCGATGCAGAGGCCCCCCTTGGCCCCGCGCTGAGTAAGCATCTTGCTCGCAGCCGGCAGAGCGGAGCATGGCGCTGGGCGCTGGAGCGGGCAGCCGTGGCGTCCCGCTGGACCTGGCTGCAGGCGCAGGTGGCCGACCTCGAGTTCCGCATCCGACAACAGAGCGACCTGTGCCGACAGCTGCGCAGGGCCAAGGGCCCGCTAAGGCTCGAAGGGGCCGACGGAGACTCCAGCACGGATACCACGACGACGCTTCCCCAGGACACCACGACGGCCCACTGCGAGCACGACTCGACCGGAGAACTGTGCGCGTGCAAGGGTCCGACGACTTCGACGGCGCCCGCCAAGCCGAACGGCCTGGTGCTGCCGTCGCCCCAGGACGCCACGTCGGGTACGACGTCGAGCGGTGGCGGCTGCGTGCGGACACGGGGGCTGGCCCCGGGCTTCCGCAAGCGGAAGGTGGTGCTGGCGGCCTCCGCGCTCGCGTCTGCGCGCAAGTCGGCGCGGCTCTCGGCTACGGTGCAGTGCTCGTGTCGGTCTGTGTGCGGCCCGTCGTCGCCCGCGGGCTGGGGTGCCGCCTCGTCGGCCCTGCCCGGGCTGCTGCAAGGGCCGCCCGAGTCGTCGGCCTGTGCGGCGGGGCAAGGCCTCGGCGCGCCGTCGTGCTTCGGGGAGCCGTCGGCCGCGTACCCGCCGCTGTCGCCGTGCCTGGTGTGCGCGGGCCGCTACAACAGTGTGCGACCGCTGGACGCCGACCTCATGACTCGGCAGGAGAGGGCAGCCCTGCTCGACCCCGGATTCCATCCCGTGCTCTCCTTCCGCTCCGGTGAGTGCCCGCCTTTTCTCTCCCAGAGCCACCGTGGCTGGCCTTCTCTTGTCTAGCCGAGACGTCGAGCCACCAAGGGGGCGTTGACGAGACTTCGGCGCACTTGTGCCTATCATCTCAGACAGCGTATAATGTATTTCAAGATACTGTATTTAAACTACTTTTGGTAGTAATCTTGTGTCTTGCAAATAGGGTTGATCGAAAGTATGTGCTGCTTTGTTTTACTTACATTCCTTGGTATCTTGTACTTCTTACCTGAAATACGCTCTAAGCCAGCAAAATAATAACTAAAGGGAAATGAGGAGAGGACACCAAAACACGACGCGAGGTGTTCTATCCTTTACCTTTTTCAAGTTCGACCGAGCTACGCCACGAAGGACGGTTTCTTTCGCCAGTTTGGCACTCTCGGGAACTGTATCCGAGTGCGTACGGCGATCTCGACGCTTTCATGGGGACAGACGCAAAGCGGGAAACACTACAAGCAGGAGCACTTAAAGGGAAGATGGGGCACTTCTACATTTGAGAAAAAACGCTTGAATTGCGTTCATTTGGCCTTTAGAATAACAGATATCAAAATTATATTTCAATGCGACGCGCCGGAGTGCCACAAGAGCAATTTCAAAATAGGGCTGAAGCCCCGCCCCCCTAGCCTTGGGCAGCCAAAAGAGCCGTCGATGACGTCACGGACAGCGACTGTCTTTCGCGTTTTTCTCGCGTTTAACAATACTTACGCAGCAAATGATTTGGGTATTCGGGTTCACGAGGTAAAAGTACACTAGAATTCACTTCTAACTCATTTTTTCCAAGAAGCTCCGTAGCTTCTCTTTAATCTCCTGCTCATCCCATATTTGTTTGACGTGAGCTCTGCCTATAGTAACTAGAGCGCTTGGTAAAATGATGCTCCAGTGTACACGTCATACGATGGCCAGGTGTGATTCTCAACCATGTGACTATAGGCAATCTGTGCTGCTGAGCACAGTTGAAATTGCTCCCGTGCTCTTCTAAGACACAAACTGAAGTGCAATGAAAACTGATTTGAGCTGCTCCTTGCCTGCTCCAGAATGTAGTTTTAGCTGCTCCTAGCCTGCTCCAGAATGTAGTTTTAGTTGCGCCCAACCTGCTCCAGCTGTTTCAGCTGCTCCCGTGACTGCTCCCAAGTGCATTTCATGAGTTCCACCCCTGCGTAGTTTAACGGCAGGAGTCGTGACACATCTGTCCGCAGTCAAATGAAAAATGATGTTTCGAAAGGTCTGTCCTGCTACCATAGCGATGAAATGAAACGAATGGAATAAGAGGAAACAACGCGTAGAGATCAGTTATGCCACAGCTGTCTAAACGCGTTTATATTGAAAGTGCCGGGCGCCGCCACCAGCCTGCGCCGCCACCGCGGGCCAGAGCCGTATATGTAGAGAGTTTGGTCAATGGGAGGCGCGGGCAGAGCCAGGGTGTGCGGCAGACTGGGAAAGAGGGCTTGGCATGCTCTCTTGACCAACCAGAAGCCGAAAAGAATCCCCTAGCGGTGGTAGCGAGAAACAGTTCTGATCAAAGGTATATGTTCGTACATGGTTTTAATAAGTGCGTAAGAGTGAAGTGTAGTAACTCTACGTGGTTGAAAATAGGGTGCACGTGTTGTTTTGATCATGATCATGCAGAAAAAGGTAAGAAACGAATGTGCCGCTCAACCCTGTTTTGCGCGGACAGTGTGTGACCGCTCGGACGGCAGATTCCCGGCCCTCAACGTTTGGCGTACGGATTATGTCGATCGTTCCGCGAGTCGCACTCTTCCACCATCATTTTGGATGAGCGTGATTGAAACATCACGTGTACCATATTTTCAGCCATCGAGAGTTACTCAAATGCATGCAGTTATCAGGTTTGTTTCTCGCGGCCACCGCCAGGGTATTATTTCCGGCTTCTGGTTGGTCACATTCGAATTTCTGAAGACGCCCTGGAACACGCCCAGCCCGCTTTCGGCCAATGGCGCCTCCTCATTTGTCTCCTATACTTCCCAACGAATGGCCAAACTCTCTACATGTATACGGCTCTGCCGCGGGCTTGTGGCGGCGCATACAACCTCGAACATTCGGGCCATACTCAAAAGCGAGCTGGTCGTTTGCGGCGAATTTCGTGGTAGTTCACGCCCAACACTCTTGTCTTAAGTTTTTTCGGTTTTTGGGGTTTCTTTTTTCCTTCCCAGAAATTATACAAGTTCTAATGGTGCACCTTATTTTAATTCACTTGTACATGTAGTAATTCATTGGTACAATTTTTTTTTTTTCACCCAACCTTCCTTAGCGCTTTGATGGGAAATACGATTATTACTATTTTTAATTATCCAGTCTGCGTGAATTGAAGCGTGGTTTAGCGCCCTGCGTGGTAAAATCGGTCTACACATTTCCGGTTTTGTCGGAGTAGTTGTAGCTTTGAATGCTGTCCGGTTCCAGAAAACGGCGGGGTCAGACCATCTGAATCCTTTCTCTTTCGCCGCCAACTCCTCGTTCAACAGAGGAGGGGTCACGTGCTCAAAAAAATTAATCAAGGACAAGCAGACGACCACCGACTGCGCGTGATATGCAGCGCACGCGCCCGCCTTTCCGGGGGAGAGGTATTACCGCCCGCACACCGCCTGTTGCATCGCCGCGGCAGCGTTAACCTTACCTCGAGCGGTCGAATAGATGGTGCCGCTAGGCATTCCAAACGGTCGAGTTTTTGCTAATTCCGAATCATCTTGAAATACGTCACACGCGATTTAGGTGACGAAATCCCGGGCTGTTAAAACATCGGTGGTTTTTCTTGTGTGTTGTGGTTCATACTTGGGCTTACACGCAAACGTGCAAGCGTGTTGCCCAACACTGTCGGTTCCTAGACGGTCATTAAAGACACGAGGGACTAATTGCGCGAGCAGATTGCGAAGACTTTCTCTCTTCTCCGGACGTTTTAGCGGGCATGCTTATTTCTTTGTCCCCGCTGTTTAACTCTACTTATTCGCGCCAGCTGCGAGCTCGCATAATTAGGGCGTCTTCGGGATTCGGGCCTCGCAGCTGCTTTACTCTGTGTATGTACACTGCGCGAACAAACGGGACCCCGATGCCTGTTCTTCGTACTTTTATTTGTGAAAATTCGTTCGTGTTGTAAGTTCATTACTTGCTTCCAGTCCCTTTTCATCCACTCACGTGAATTCCTCGTCTTTTCCCGCCCTGGTCTTGTTATGCGGGTTGAATTTTTTAAACTATACATTTTGATATATGTTAAATATCTTATTTGAGAGGGAGAGGTAACATCCTTTTATAAATGTTCGAGGTGGAGCAGCCGCAGGATCAGCACAGACTAATCCAGATCATAAATGGAAATTATGGGTCATTTATTTCACTTCCGTTCTTTTTCCTTCGCCTACATGAGGATCGGTTCCTCGTGCGCTGTTCTTTTTTTGTTAAAGGACATTGAAGTGACCCCTTCATTACTTCTTCAACCGTCTAACCTGGTTGTTCGCCGTTCCCTCTGAACAGTGATGGGCAAAATAGATGCCAATATGTATTGAAATACAAATACAATATACTTCGTCAAAAACGTCTTTTAATTACAAATCTAATTACATTTAAAAAAAGCATATAAGTACAAGATACAAATACAACCAAATGCAACAGGTTTCTGGGTATTTCATTTTAATTTTGCATCGCACACTCGGGAGTTAGTGTGCGAGGCTCTAGTAACGTTATAGAAATATAATCACAAAACATGTAATCAGCTTGGACGTAATAGGTGAAAAAAGTACAGAGCCTCAAGCAGCTTTTTTTGTCGATTACATTTTTGTATAGACCAACAAAGAACCGAGACGACCAAAACGCGCAGCACTAGCTAGAGAATTTTTTATTGTTGCGACTCGCACCAGTTACGAAAATCTGAACGCCCCGCGCATTTAGAATGTTCCAGGCAAAAATATGGATGGAAATCAGGCTGGAAAGCATCACAAGTTCTCACAGGCACTTATTTAGCCAGGCTGCCTGTGAACGTCGATTTCGTCACTATTCTTGCCCCGGACTAGCACCGTAATCAAAAAAAGTCACTAAACGCTTGTGCTTGATTGGGAGACACTGCAATCGGGGCAGATCGTGGTTTTCTTCCTGCTCTGGACAGTGACAATAAATTTGAGGGATGTATTTTCGCCTAAAAAATTGTGTTTAATTACAGTTGTTTTTGAAATCCCCACGTTTTAGTATTTAAATACGCACGTCAAATACATTACCCAATTTGTAATTAAATACAAGTGCAAATACACAAAGTATTTGAAATACGTATTTTAAATACTTGTATTTGAAATACTGCCCATCCCTGCCTCTGAATATCGCGGTAATTCGCTCTCCGCCCTTTCTAAAGTGTAAGTTGGTGTGATGATCAGTCTCCCTTGTGCAGAAACGGAACAAAAAAAAAAAAACAATGTCGATGGGCCGATAGCTTAGACTCAGTAATAAAATCGGTCGAGTCCAGCGTGGGAACAATTTCACTGAGGGACGGCTGCTCTCGGCGTCCTCCGACGGTCTCCTTGTTTTTGTGGGTCGTGTTCTGGAGCGCTGCGCACTCTCGTCGCTGGTGCACGTGACCCAGTTCCGAAAGGAAGGAGGAAAATCGTGAAAGGGGCGGCGATGGCACTGCCACCGGTGTTTACAGAGGCTTTCCTGGGTGCCCCCTGCTTCGATAGCGCTCACTCTGGGTCAGTCCCAACTTTTATTCGTCGGAGGCGATAGATGAGAGGAAGAGCATTTGGGGGAGAGGGTCGGAGATTGGGAATGCCAAAAGGATGATGATGATGACCGTGCGTTGTTGATTCGCCCTAACACTCGGCTGCGTGTGTTCGTGCCTGCCTATTTTCGGGGTGTATGGCAGCACGGTACTCGTCCCTCTATCCTTCGCGAGCCTTTTGCTACGCTTTTGGAATCGTCTTTCCACTTCCGTCGCTACAATCCAGCCTGGTAACTTGTTCCAATCAGCCTTTACTAATATAT